AACAAAGGGAACAATATGATGTTTGTTATTATAAAATTTTTATATAGCCCACGTTTTTATAAAAAATTATTATTTTTTATTTACCGTTCAGGCAATAACGTTGACAGTAATGTATATCTTCAACATACGTTGTCTATGACCAAAAATGTAAGAAGATATGTTTTCAGTGGACTTTTAAAATTAGCTTTGCTTGAGAAAACAAAAATAGTTACAGTGTTTTTTTCTTTTGGTTTAGTCGAGTTGGTTTTGCATCAAACACAATGTGATTTTCCTCATGCATTAAATCTGCCGCAGGCCAGCAAATCACTGAGAACGTGCTACAATCCTGACGAGTCATAGCAACAGAGCGGAGGCGAGAAAGCTGCGGAAAATCCGCTTGCCCGGAAGCAACCATAACTGACGTAGATTTACAGAAAATTACTGCCGTTTGGCAAATAAATCATTGTACATACTTATTCCTAACTTCTTCCGAAGTTACATTTCAAATGACAAGGGATCAACTTATAATCATGTTTATATGAATTATCCCGTGAACTTATTCTCAAATGGCCTGGGTATGCGGAGCATTCGCAGCTTATATGGACGGAACGCCACTGCAATACAATACAATACAAGAAAAGATAAGATTCCCCAGTAGGAAAGACAGATCTCAAGGAATTTTTTTCAGTCGAGTTCAGTTTCAATGTAACTTTATGTCTGTGGTTCTGTGGCAGCGGCTCACAGAGTCAGCTATTTTTACTTTCTAAAACATGGAACTTGGTTGTTTCATTATATATAAAAAAACACAACACTATAGCAAATAGGATGTAATCAGCGAGGTTAACACTCATCACTCTCAGGACTGCATGAAGTGTAACCAAAACCCAACACCTGCACAGCATGTCACCATCTTTGTGTCAATATGTGCTTTCGGTCAAGTATCCTTTTTAGATAAACAGGTGTTGCCCTGTGTTTTATTAGCAGGCATTTGTCATGTCATGCATTGCTTTTTAAAGAAGATCTCTTTTAAGATCAACCATAAAATGATGGTTGTTTTATATGAAGACCTGTTGAGCAGTAGATTTGATGGGAAGGCTGCCATTCTTGAAATCTGAAGCCATTATTCATGTGTATTTATTTACTCCCCTTTCATTCATTGCATTAAACTTTTATATTTTTATTTACATATTTTTGAACATTTTTTTATATTTTTCCAACCATATTTTCCCCAAAATGAAAATAAGAACCTATATGTGAATAAAGAAAAGTAAACATATTTTAGGTTTTAAAGTTTATTTATTTATTTATTTTTCATGACAAATAAGGACATTACAAAAATAATATTATATTGCATTTTATTGATATATGTTTGTATAAAAATATATTTTTCAGTCATATTTTTAAAGTCTTAAAATAACAACAAATTTTTACATAAAGAAAATTTACGCTATTTTTAGGATTTTGCATTGACATTATATATATATATATATATATATATATAAGTAGACAGATAGGTAGATTGTTTTTTAAAGTCATATATATATATGGGTAGATAGATAGATTTTTTAATGGTTGAGCTTTTTGTTTTTTAGCTTGACTATATCTACTTTTGTTTTTCATATGACAAATAATATGAGTCATGCATTGCTTTTTAAAGAAGATCTCTTTTAAGATCAACCATAAAATGATGGTTGTTTTATATGAAGACCTGTTGAGCAGTAGATTTGATGGGAAGGCTGCCATTCTTGAAATCTGAAGCCATTATTCATGTGTATTTATTTACTCCCCTTTCATTCATTGCATTAAACTTCACCAAACAGGTTTAGCAGCATTAGTCTACACATGTAAGGCTTATGAGAAACCTGTCAAAATCATAATTTTCCCCAAAATCTAAATAAAAACTGTACATAAAGAAAATGCAGCCTATTTTTGGGACCATTAAGATTTTTTGCATTGACATTATTTACATGACAAAATAGGACAATATGTTGTATAAAAGTAATATTACATATATATATATATATATATATATATATATATATGTATGGTAGATTGTTTTTTAAAGTCATATATATATATATGGGTAGATAGATAGATTTTTTAATGGTTGAGCTTTTTGTTTTTTAGCTTGACTATATCTACTTTTGTTTTTCATATGACAAATAATATGATATAATGTAAAAATAGACTTTAGTTAAATTTCTTTAGGTTTTGTGAGATTCAGCCATAAATGAATGGAGGAAGAGAGATTGTGTGTGAGTCCGTAACAGGAGTGCCCTTGTGACGTATGCATGTGTGTGTGTTTGTTTGTGTGTGTGTGTGTGTGTGTGAGTGTGTGTGTGTGTGTGTGTGTGTGAGTGTGTGTGTGTGTGTATGTGTGTGTGTGTAGGGGGTTGGCCTAGCGACAAGCTCAGGTGTGTTTGCACGGCTCCATAACAGAGAGAGTGAGACTTGAGCAGGGAAGAAAGACAGACTAAGAATCTCACTGAATGAAATCAACACCCCTCTGTAAGCAGCAGCAAGAAAAATAGATTAAATCGAACAGATGAAAAGGCCTGAAGGAGATGGAGCTCTCCGGCAATCTATAAGGATTTCCAGGAAGTTGGCAGATCTCTGCCTGTCTGGACTCGCTGAGTTGAAGGTAGTGTTTTTTCCTTGAGTTGTTTTTCGATTTGCGGCAAACACAACAATGAATGATTTTAAGCAAGTGATCTGCAACTGAGGTAATGAATGAATGTTTTGGTTTGCTTAGGGTTATGGCTTTTCTCAAGACTTATATTATAAAGTATCTTGTGTGCTTTGAAACAATTTAGCATTTCATGCTCAGGCAAAATAGCAGGTTTTGAAGTAAATATCTCAAATTTGTGTTCAAATTTGAACATTGATCTTAGTAAGTGATTGATGTGCGCCAGTCTACCGGAAAGCATGTGGACGTTTCAGACAGTTACTCATAACCGTGTCACTGGGTTTGTTTTTGGCCTGTTGTCTCATGCATTTTTAATGTCGGAAAATCTCTGTCAAATGTGTTGAGTAAATTTTGCTCATACATTAAGTTTTTGTTGGCGATAACATGTAAATGTGATGCCTTATCAGAGAGTTTAGGGTTTAAATGTCAAATCCGACACAACTGCCATTGTGCAATCGTACCTTGCTTTAAATGCAGCCATTGTGAGGATAGAAAGTCAAGATTTAGCTATAGCTAATAGCAAAGTTTAATAATTGAGCTGATATTTAGCCATTTTGAGATAAGGGTCAAGGTTAGAGTTCCCAATTGAAGTGCAGCTCAACCAATAGCGTGAGCTTGGGGTGGGAATATGTGTTTGTCCAACCAATGGTAACATGGGGAGTGTTCAGGAAACCTGTTGGAAAACAGTTGGTTTTCACATTGTAATTTATGTAATTGTTTAATCTCATTTATTAATGTTTGCATATATGCATCATCAGTCAAAACAGTGTTTACATTGAAAATATATCATGCACTTACATTTTTTGGACTGGGTTCTGTTAGGGGGAGCCATCCCTGATGAAGACCACATGGTACTGTCCACTGGACCTGGTAAGACTGGATCTTTTTCTGCCAACATAAATGCTTCTTTCAAGCAGTCTGTGTCAGCTGCAGCATAAAATTATTTTCTTAATGTGTTTTGTGGGCGTAGTAGCTGAAAAATCTAATGATGCTATAGTCTCAGATGTTCAGACTGCCTACAGTATGTTCACATACCTTCTGATGCATATTGCACACGAACTGGCAAACACTATCTGAAGATCAACTGTTCCGATCTGATTGGCTGGCATGTAATTTCCAGCAGCTGAGGTGCACTAGTTCTCCTGGAAACAAAATCATGTTTATTTAGGGTGCCCATCTGATAAAATGAGTGCTTTTTTAGGCAGAACTAATCAGAGATTTGAAAGTGTGCCAGGCTACTGGCATCAGATTTTGAGATTGCAAAAATATTGAGAAAAATATTTCGTTTTCATTTTTGTTTTTGAGTTTCAAATTTTGGGGTCAGAAATATTAAAAATGTTAAAATCAATTAATACTTTTATTCAGCAAGAACGCATTTAACTGATCAAAAGTGACAGTAAAAAACTTTACGTTGTTACAAAAAAAAAATCTATTTTAAATAATTGCTGTTCTTTTGAACTTTCTATTAATCCTGAAAAAAAAAACGGATCATGGTTTCAACAAAAATATTAAGCAGCACAACTGTTTTCAACATTCATAATAATAAGAAATGTTTCTTGTGAAGCAAATCAGCATATTAGAATGATTACTGGAGGATCATGTGACACTGAAGACTGGCGTAATGATGCTGAAAATTCAGCTGCGCTTCACAGAAATAAATTACATTTTAAAACATATAAAATAGAAAACAACTTTTTAAATTGTAATAATATTACACAATATTACTGGTTTTTCAAATAAATGTAGGCTTGGTGAGAATAAGAGACTTCAAAAACATAATCCCAAACATTTGAACGGTAGTATACAGTATGTCTGTACAATAATGATTATTTATTACTTTTGGATGGACTGAAAATCAAAGTCTTCACACATTTCTACTAATTTTGTCTGTGTTTTGTGAACTGACAATGTGCATTTATTTAAATGAGTTTTTCCACACAAGTCTTAACTTATTGCATGTACAATTATATAAAAGGGAAGTAAAAACTAACACTTTCATGTTAGTGAAGTGGGCGGGCCAAAATAAACTAAAGCAGACGTTATGCCTTTAATCAAGAGTTTGGCTATACGAGACAAATGATTCCCACAGAGATCGAGCAATGACTTTAATTATTGTGACCAGAAGCAAGGCCCTTTACCTGAAGAGCTTGTAATAAGTGTACTGGAAGGCGCTTTGGAAAAAATATCCACAAAATGACCGCTTACTTACTCTGATCTCTCTCTGGTTCAGTCCACTGTGTCCGAAACGGAGGAAGATGGTATCATCTACACTGTGGTGGTGAAACAAGGGCACGGTTCCCCCGCCGGCCCGCAGGTGAGCCCCATCTTCCCGAGTAACTTTCAGTGCTATGCGTTCCAGAAGTTCTGTCCTGACATCTTCACCCGTCTCTTCCCAGTCCACAGTATCCCGTTCTCAACACGTCAAAGCAGGGAGAGAGGAAAAGCTGGTCCTCCATCTCCTTCATTCCTTCTCCATGGGCGACTCCTCCTTCATCTCCATCTTCCTCTCCACCTATCGCTCGTTCACCTCCACCCAGAGAGTGCTGGACATCCTGACTGACAGGTACAGTGCATGTAAAGTTAGAGTAATAAATTCATTGTCTTTCATATATTGAATACCAATGACACATCTGCAATGATTTTGTTTATGATATCAAATTCTGCAACAAACAAATAAACATAAGATTAAAATTAGTTTCATGGTCCTTTCATGTTTTGGGACTTCTTGCAAGACTTCTTGTGTAAATACAGTACTTAAAACATCTCTAATTTAAAATTCAGTACAACTAGAGTTTGTTAATTTGATTGATTTCTGTAAACCAATTTATTTCTCTGTTTCAGTGAATTGCATAAATCAACTCTTTAATTTTCAGTGATTCATTTGAATGATTCATCACTCAAAAATCAAAAAGTCCCTGTGCAGCATTTTATATGTTTCATAATGTTTTTCTAAAGGTATATACAGGTACATAATGCTGTATATTGTTATACTCATACATAACAGAAAAGTGTAAACAATCAAACATAACTTTTCCTTGTGTTTATTTAGTGAAAAACAATATAGAAAATATGCGTTCTTAATATTTTGAATATCAGCAACAATGAACAATGAATTATAA